CTCAGCTCACTTCCCACTGTATCCCTGAAGTCTGCAGAAAGTAGTTCCGAGAGTACCTTTGTGTGTGTTTGTGTGCATTATTTCCACCAGCCTCAATTTCTCCATGTGTAAATAGGGTGCCCTTCTTTGCAGGGCTGGTGTGAGAAAGTAGACTTGACATGCACCCAGATCCGCCTTAGCCAAAAACCAAATCCTCCAACTTGAGCTGACCAAGACCTCACGCATGGAGTTCTCACACCCTTCCCTTCCTGGGCCTTAATTCAACACTCAACACAGGGAAGAGTTATTGAGTGCCTATTATGTGCCAAGCTCTGTTCTTAGTCCCAAGGATACCAACAGCTTATAGAGGACTAGATCACTTGGCACTGGAAAGCTGTCACTCTCTGCTGCCCACCTCTATGCAGCACACATAAGATCTGGCATCAGCCGTGGGGACAGGTGCATAGACCAAGGGAGACTGGCCCTAGCTGGCTAGTCCAGGAGACACTCCTGTCACCTGAGTAGGGTGACCCATAAGCGCTGGGTGGGAGGACAGGAGGATGGATTTTCAATATGCCTGTGGCCCCACACTCCCTCCTCAGCCCAGTTCTAGACACCCGCCCTCTGACCCACCTCAGCCCCTTTCACAGATGGTCTCCCTGCTACACCTCAGGAAACAGGACACAGCCTAGGCAGCCTGTGATAGGAGTGCCCTCTGCTGCCAACTGCTGGCATCACACCTCTCCTGAAGGGAAATGTATCCGAGGTGTATGGGACAGGTCTCCCAACGCTGGGATGCCCACCGCGAGTGAGCCCTGAGGTGATTTTAGGTCAAAAGCGTATTGTTGGGTTTTCTGTGTTGATGGATAGATATGCAGGCATACAGTCAGTGGGGGATTTTACATAAAATCTGGTGTGCTGATTTCTCCTGAAAAATCTAAGAACCTGGCAACAAAAGACCTGAACTCCAACATGTCTAGAACTGGCAGGATCTGAGAGGAAACTCTTAGGCAGATCGTGCATTCTAGCCCAATCCCTGAAAAGATCACTCAGAAGGAAGTCTGAGCACGTACCGAAAAGACCTCCTTGCTCAGGAAAAGGTCCCTTCAGCAGAAATGAAAATGCACAGCTGGATAAGCCTGGCCTAAGGTGTGGTGGGCTGGCTGTGATCTGGCCAGTCATTAGCTGGCAGTGATGGGGGTGGGATCTGGAAGGAGCTGCCCTAGCTGCCTCCTGCCTGGACTCTTGCCTTTTGGAGGAGTGATTCCCCTTTGGCAGTTTGATGAAGCCCATACCCTTTCCTCAGAATGGTTTAGTAGTAGTAGCAGTAGCAGTATTTTGAGACAGAGTCTCGCTCTGTCACCAGGCTTGAGTGCAGTGGCACAATCTCAACCCACTGCAACCTCCGTCTCCCAGGTTCAAGCCATTCTCCTGCCTCAGCCTGCCCAGTAGCTGGGACTACAGGTGCGTGCCACCATGCCCAGCTAATTTTTGTATTTTTGGTAGAGACAGGGTTTTACCATGTTATCAGGCTGGTCTTGAACTCCTGACCTTATGATCCACCTGTTTTGACCTCCCAAAGTGCTGGGATTACAAGCGTGAGCCACCACACCTGGCCTAAGAATGGTTTTAAATGCACAAAGTAAAACATAGAATTACAGAGGACATCAACATATTGAAAATATAGCTATGAAAACATAAGAAAATGTGTAAAATAGTAGCACTTTTGTTTATTAATGTATTAAATGGTAAGACCTAGAATCTGATCTAAGAGTAGTAAGAGTGTAAACAATATTTCAAGATATCTGTAATAACTTTAATTGATAGAAAAAAACTAATAGTTAATGACAAAGTCACAGGTTCTACTAACACTACTGTGGTTGGTGGCCTACATTCATAATTGAAGGAAATTATACATTTTGATTAACAGCTAGTAAAAATAAAGATGTGAGTTCCCAGTCCCCCAAAATCTCTTCACAGGCCCCCAAATTAATCCCTGCCCATTTCACCAAGGAGAGTGAGTCATTAACCTTGCTACTTAGTTTAGAAGATACATCTGTGATTCAGGGTCCTGACAATTCCCTTAGGTGAGAGAGCTTTACATTTATGTCTTAAAGGGGAGCAGGGTGATGGAATGGTAGGTAAGCATGGCATGAAACCCAAAAGGCAAAAAAACACAGGATTACATAAAATTTTAAAACATATATGGTGAAAACATCATAAATGAGGTTAAAAAAAGAACAGACTAAAAATATGCAATGTAATGATACAGTATTAGTGACATTAATTTATAAGGAGTGCTTACAAATAAATGATAGAAAAACCCAAAAGAGTGAAGAAAAGATGAGATAACTCATAGAATTTAAAAAAAATATTGCCAGTTAAACATATAAACAACCTTACCAAAATGGTCATAAAAATTACATGTTTTAAACTATTTTACTGGCCAAAATGAAATAGTTGTTTTAAATTGGTGAAAAGTGGGAAAATGGGCAGTTTCAAACAGCCTTCTAGCAAAATAATTTGGCAGCATATATCAAAATTTAAAGTCCTCAAAAAATGTGGGAATCAGAATTTTTTGCAATAGTATTATGTGTACTATTAAAATTAGAATAACCTAAATATCTACCAATTGAGTAATGATTGAATAGATTATGTATCATGTATTCTACAATGAAACACTATGCAACCATTATAAAGAATAAAGTATATCTTTGTGTGCTAATGAAAAAAGGTACCTAAGACATATATATTTTTAAAGTGAAAAACAACATACAAATAACAGTATTTTTTTTTTTTTTTTTTTTTTTTTTTTTTTTTTTTTTTNCCCGGGCTGGAATGCAGTGATGCAGTCTCAGCTCACTGCAACCTCCGCCTCATGGGTTCAGGCAATTCTCCTGCCTCAGCCTCCCAAGTAGCTGGGATTACAGGCGCCCACAACCATGCCCAGATAGTTTTAGTATTTTTAGTAGAGATGAGTTTTCATCATGTTGGCTAGGCTGGTGGTCTCAAACTCCCGACCTCAAGTGATCCGCCCACCTCAGTCTCCCAGAGTGCTGGGATTACAGGCATGAGCCACTGCACCTGGCCATAACATGTATCTTATTATTCCATTTGTGTTTTTTTTTAACTATATATATGAGAAACTCTGGAATGGTATTCAAAATATTTAACGAGTCTGGCACAGGTACCAAACCATCAGCACTGATGTTGGCCCTTACCCTGGAGACAGAAACTAGACAGCCCTGTTAAATTGTGCAAGTCCAGGGGAAAAAACAAGGACAGACAAGGTGGCAGTGTAGGGTACTTGGAAGATTTCTTACCAATAAGCATGAATATATATGCAGAGAAAAAGTGAGAGGTACATACAAACTTAACAGTAGTACACAAGAGGCACTTTCACATTTTGCCCCACACAATCCTATTTGAAATTCTAAGAATGAGTAGGATTTGAAAAAAAATTAATACAGAGAAAAACATCAGCATGAGCCTATTTGCAAAATGCAGGCTGACATAAATGCATGACATAGACTCACAAAAGGCCAGAAAGAATCCAGGGTTATCTGGGTTCCCAGGAACCTCACACTTCTTACCTCTTACTACTCTTGCCATCATCATCACCACCATGTTTTGAAATATTCTTTTCCACTAAGCAAACTGGAGTCATTAAGTAACACATTATTACTTTATTTCCTACATTTTTTATTAATTAAAAATATAATTTACTGCCAGGTAAATCTCCCTATAAACTTCAAATTATCATTAATGTCAAAATAAATTTGTGTGTGTGTGTGTGTGTGTGTGTGTGTGTGTGTGTGTGTAGATTTATTTATTTATTCATTTGAGATAGGATCTCACTGTATTACCCAGGCTGGACTGCAGTGGTGTGATCATAGTTCACCATAACCTCGAACCCATGGGCTCAAGTGATTCTCCTTCCTTAGCCTCCAAAGTAGCTAGGACTACAGATGCGCCACCATGCCTGGCTATATTTTTTTTTTGTAGGGACAGGGCCTTTCTGTGTTGCCCAGTCTCATCTCAAACTCCTGGCATCAAGCAATCCTCCCACCTTGGCCTCCCAAAGTGCTGGGATTATAGGTGTGAGCCAATGTGTGTGGCCAGTTCACATATTTTTGAAATATCAAAAATATTTCTAATCAAATCCCTCAAAACCCTGGTTGTCAGGAATGTTCGATAGTTGAAGAACCATTTGTCATGCATTCTCCAGATGTAGAAGTGAGAGACAATGTATGTATCCCTGCTTGTCTCTAAGACAGCTAGCCCTAGAAATCCTCACCTGTGGAGACAGTCAGGAAAGCTGAAAACCAGTAGTGGTTCCAAGGACACAACCCAGAGGACAGCCATGGGGTATGGCAGCAGGCCTCAGAGCCTGACAATGGTATCGGACATCTACAAGTCCAAAGCAGGTAGCTGTGAATAAGAAAGCTGGGGCAGGAGACATGACTTGTGAATGTTTTTTAATAAGACTGTCAAAAAGAGGCCAAGGCAGGTGGATCACCTGAAGTCGGGAGTTCAAGACCAGCCTAACCAACATGGTGAAACCCCGTCTTAAAAAATTAAAAAATTAAAAAAAATAAATAGAACATGTAGCAAAACTGGTAGCTGCCTATCCAGCACCCATTTTTTCTTCCTCCTTAAATTTCCCAGCATCTCTTGCAGCTACATCCCAGTCAGTGCAATGTAAGAGGAAGTATTATATGGTACTTGCAGGAAGTCTTCACAAAATCAAGCAAGTGTACCTTTTCTCTTCATCCTACTGCCTGAAATGCAAACATGATGGGTTGGAGGTCATGCAGCCACACGGACCACAGGTGTATGTTTTATAGCCAGTATTATTTGGGATTGTTCTATTATAGACAGAGAAAACTAATCCTAACTGACATTTGGGTAACCCTCTGCCCACCCCACCCCCACAAAGAGACAGTGGAGATCAAGTGAAAGTGTCACACTCCAGGAAATGTCCGTTTCCACACTGCAGCAGCAGCAACCTAGTGTTGGCTCTATTTGTTACCTGGATGCAGCTCACCAGTCACTGGCCCCTCTGGGCCTTGAATCAGGTCCCTGTAAGTCCCAGGACAGTGCTTTTGGTAGAGATTTTCTACCAGTGTGTTGCTTCCACTAACCACAGCCCGCCCCTCCTGGTTCATGTAGTTCCACAAATGCAGGGCGTAAGAGTCATTGAAGCTTGGGTCTGTGTCCCAGACTTCATAGTAGCGCCTCCACTCTGGATAGGAGATGGGGTAAAATCTTTGGGGGTGTAGGAAGGACATGTTCAGACACCTGAGGTCGCTCAGACCCTGGAAGTCTTCAAGTTTGCACCATACCCTCAACATCCTTGTCATCAAACCAGGGCCTTGGTGGCCCCAAATGTCTGAATTGTAGTTTTCAACAAAATTTTCCATGCATTCCCACAAAAAGGGGTGATGGGGGAGGAACCCAAATACTCCATTACTAGAGTATTGAGAATCCTGGGCAGCCAAAAAATTCTCTTCAGGGATGGGCCTGATGGAGATGACATCGGTGTCCATGTAGATGCCACCGTATTTCCAGATGATGGCCAGGCGGGATGCATCTGAGCTGATGTGGAGCCAGTTTCTCTCTGCACTGGTGTTGATCTGCAGGAGCAGGTGTCAATCAGCCCCAAGTTGCTGGGTGGGGGGTTGGGGAGGCGTTAAACAAGCCAGCTTCCCAAAATCCTATTTGCCACAAGCCCAGTTTTGCAAATTTACCAAACTTACCTCCAAAATTTTTCATTTAAGTAAAAAGTTTGCAGCAATCAGTATCAGTGGGAAGGTTTTAGCAGCTTTTAAACATTTGATGAAATTGTTTTTTAAAAATATTAAAGCACTGGAAAGATAAAGAAGAAATTCAGAAAAGATTTCACAATGCACTGTATGAGTCATTCTTCAGCATGGGTGTACATAAACTACAAATATGAAACCGTAGAGGAAGAACCAAATAAAGTCCTTAAAATGCTAACAACTGACAATGAAAAAACTCAATATGTCTGCTATTTGAAAAATTGGTAAAAAGAGTCTTAAAATGTATGCCTTTGCTCATTTGTTAATTCCTTTAATAATATTTATTGAGGGCTTATTTAAATTCTATTAAAGCCGCTAAGGGTACAGCAGTGAACAAACAAACAGAAATCCCTACTGGAAGGGGAAGATAAATAAACAAACATTCTCTGTAGGATGTTGACAACAATTATAAACAAAAAAAAACCTGGGTGAAGGGAATGTGAAAGGGGCAGGGTGGAGCACTATATTACATTAGTTCCTCCGGAAACTGGAATGAAGTGGGTGGGTGAACCATGTGTTGCTTCCTCTAACCACAGCCCTCCCCTCCTGGGTCATGTAGTTCCACGAATGCAGGGCCTAAGAGTCACTGAAACTCGGGTCTGTATCCCAGCAAATGCGAGGGTCCTGAGGCAGAAGCACACTCGCCATGTGCAGGAACAAGGAGGAGGCGGTAGGCTGAAGCGGACTAGAGGAGGGAGTGGGGTAGACAATGAGATCAGAATTGGAGAGGGGTGGGGAGGGAGGGCAGATCATGTAGGCTGGGGCCAAGACTGAAGTTATTTGGAAGGTTTGGAAGAAAAAAAGTGATCTGAATTCATCTTCAAAGGGCCCCTCTGGCTGCTGTATGGAAATCAGTCTGGGGTAGGGTTGGTAAGTGGCAAGGGCAGAAGCAAAGAGGCAAGTTAAGGGTCGATTGACATAATCCAGACGAGATGATGGTGCTAACAGTAGGGGTGAGAGAAGGGTACATAATGAAGATGAAGCTGGTCAGGGTTCACTGATGGGCCGGATGTGGGTAGGAGAGAGGGAAATCACAGATGAGTGCAAAGGCTAAAATGTGAGCAAAACAGAAAATGACTCTAAAAAGAATAAAAATAAATCAGCATAATTGGCAATGTTCCCATATGGAATGTTAAGATTTTGAAGAGAAAGAGAAAGCAAAATGTTTTTTTTTTTTTTAATTTTAAATACATTGGTTAAAAGATTAAACAACCACCCTTGGCTTTTGACAAAATGAACAGTCTTTAAAATTCTGCTACCAAGTCTAATGAAAGCAGGTCAACTAAAACTTTGCAGAAATCTTCACAAGGTGTTAAAAATTGTCACATTGTGCTGGGAGCGGTGGCTCATACCTGTAATCCTAGCACTTTGGGAGGCTGAGGTGAGTGGATCACCTGAGGTCAGGAGTTCGAGACCAGCCTGGCCAATGTGGTGAAATCCCGTCTCTACTAAAAGTACAAAAATTAGCTGGGTGTGGTGAC